TGATTAGAGGTGTGACTACTGTTTTCACCTGATTAATAATGAGAATGACAAAGTCACATTTCATAACTAGTAATTTTAAAGAAATATCTCCTTACCTTAATTTGGTTGATCACATGCCTCATGTCAACGTATGTGTAGTGTGTGTAGTGTGTGTAGTGCAGAGTTTAAACTTTCAGATATGTATAAAGCATTTACGACAATACTTCAGTTTTCTTAAAATTTTGGGTACTAAATTTGAAGAAAATTCAATTATTTTAAAAATATGACAGATAAATTGAAAGAATCAAGAGAGTGGCTCGACAAGGATATTTTCGAAAAACTTGTAAATTGTTATAATTTCAATGAGTTTTCTAATTCTAAAGAAATTGGTAAAGGTGCATTTGCTAATGTATTTAAATTTGAATGGAAATGCCGTGCAATGTCTGTCGTTCTTAAAACGTTAACAAGTTGGGATGAAAAGATTGTTCAAAACTTTGTTAAAGAGGTATATTATTTAATGAGTTTGATATAATAATTTTCGTGCGGTATTACGAATAGTAGTAGAGTATGGTTTAGTAAAGTAGTGGAGTATAATACCAAAATCGCATTTGAGTATATAAAACTAGCATACTATACTCATCATATATATATAATATATAAAATAGTGGAGTATAATACCAAAATCGCATTTGAGTATATAAATCTAGCATACTATACTCATCGTGTATATATATAAAATATATAAAAAAGTATAGTCGTAAAGAATTTAATTAGTATATGTGACCTTACGAAAATTTTACAGAAATTTATTTTAAATATATATCGATGCCTAAATACGAGAGTACTAAAAAGAATTTGTTTTAATAGAATCAAGATTTTTACGGGATTGTATGCACTGCTCTTACAAAATCAAGATTTTACAAGATCGCTTAAACAAAAATCAGATTTTTACAAGCTTGTCCAATATATTAATAAAAAATTATTTGCTTTATTAATTTGCAAATTTTTTCACTGAATTATGTTAGTTTTTTTTTGAGTTCTTTGAGGATAGTTTGTTGATAACTAAAACAATCCAATTTTTTTTGTGTCTTGAGTATTGCGCTTTATAATATAAATATATTGTACTGCAGTAATGATATGAATCTAATCGATCTAAATTTTAGAACTACAGTCAGACCTCTCTAAATGCATTGTGACGAACCACATGTAAAAATTTAGTTAAATGTGCATTTAGAAAGGTATCGCATTTAGAAAATAAAAACTATAGTATTATATTAATTGGACCCAAGTGAAAACATGCAATTAGGGGCTTTTCATAGAGCATGCATTTATGAAAAATGCATTTAGAGGGGACTGACTACACTCGTTGAATAATTATCTACTTAAACTTAGAAAAAATAGAAATAAATTGTATCATTATATAGTTAGCCAATTAAAAACATGTAACAACTAATAGCGACTGATTTACAAAGTTGTTCCAACTAATCAATTAGCAATTCGGATTCGGATTATTGTATCTGAAAATTTGTAAAATCCATGTGGAAACCCTCAGACTTTAACTTACCGACTTTAATTTTCTCAAGGTTAGCTAATTCAACTGAATGAACCTTTGCTTCACGTTCTCTTAAAGCTAGCTCACGTTCTTTTAATGCTAAAAGTCGTTTTTGATATTCAAGTTTATTAATAGTTAGGCTTTCTTTCTGATCGCTTTCGTTTGAATCCTCAGAATTAATAATAATTACTTCAGATTTTTTTTTGATTTTTTTTGTAGTTTTTTTTTTTTTATTTTTGATAGATTTATTTGAAGCTTTTGCTAATGGTTAAAAAAAAAAATTAAAATAAATAAAAAAACAAAATTGATTTTTATAATTAAATTATTGTTTACCTTTACACTTATTCGATAAAACATTGCGACCAATTAAGCTTTTGTCTCGTCCATGATTGGGTACATTATATTGTTGATGAATCCGAATTGCTGTAAATTTTTCTTTATTTAATTTGCGCCCTCTACAAAACAAATTAATATCAATATAAAATATAATAATTTAAAAATAATATATAAAATAAAAAAATTACTGCAAAATAGCGCTCATTAATTTTAAACTTTTCCCATGCTGATTACTTAAAGCATGAGCGGCTTCAACAACGTTCGTATTATTAGGTGATGATTTCCAAATATTGCCGTCAATTTGCGATACACAGTTATTAAGAGATGCGATAATCCATTTTTGGCGATAAAATGAAACCCAATCTAATATGTAATAACAAAAAAGCCAGATACATACATATGTACATACGTATGTATATTGTTAATTAATATATGTATGTATTATAAAATCATTTTAGAAATTATGAAATTTACTAACCTGTCAAATTTTCTACTTCTTGAATTTTATTGAACAATTAATTAATTTCATCTTCTGAGTTAGCCGTGAGCAGTGCGAGCATGTTATTAGTTACATTATCATTATATTTTAATTCTATAATTTTTCTTTATAAATAAATAAAAAAAAAATATAATTTATAGTAAATAACTTTAATAAATATTATAAAGTAACGAAGTATATATTTACCTTTTATAATGTAGTTGGCAAGATTTAAATATGTAAGTTAAATGTTCCTCCTAATTTTTTGTTTGATCAATCTCATTTAAAACAAGTTCAAGACCTTTTGCCTATGCAAAATCTAGATCAGCTATAATGCATCCCCAACCAGTTCTGTGAATGTGTTTAAATTGAGGAGGCAAGCCAGTTAATTGTATTACAAGATCAAACAATGTATGAAAAATTCTTTGATATGCGATCATCATAGCTTGATTAGTGAAAACTCTAATATAAGTAAGAACTCGATAACAATAAAAATTATTATATTAATAAATTAGATAAAAACAATGATATAATAACCAGTTATATACAAAAACTCTTTCTGACGATCCCTTGGTCAACAACAAAACAATCAAACTACAGTTAAAACTATAGAAAAGTGACAAAATAGACACTACGATACTCTTGGTTCATATTTTTATACTTGCTATCGACTAAACTTATATACATAAAACACCGAGGAGCAGGCGTATAAACAAAAAGTAGGTCTGGTATTGCAGTCAAGCTCTTTTTTTACAAGCTGTTGTCGACGAAGTTCTTAAACATGATATACTGAGGCGCAGGTATTATGAATGGTTTGCACAGAGGTCAAGCCTTTTCCATATGTGGTGGACTCCTTTGTGCATTTGGCATCCAAACTGGAGGAGTCTCTGGGAACAGCAAGGAAAAAAGAAGTGAACTCCCCCATACCTTTGACATCCAAACCAAAAGGACATTTTGGGAGCAACATCTCTGTAGATCCTTGTAGAAGAATATCTAGTAGAAACAAAGGAACTAGACTATATTACTATAACTCTTACAAGAAGAACCTCACATACTTTTGTTGACCCACCACTTTTTTTTGAGGAA